TCCTGGTAAAAGTATCACAGAGAATGATGCATTTTCAGTAAGTGGACTGTCCTTGTCCTGGATCTATAACTCACTCATCACCATGATTAGAAGCTAACACCACCTTCCTGCCCATGCTTGGGTCCTGTCCTTGATAGTCCAGGCCTGACTTGCATTCTCCTCTAGACTGGCATTGTGACATTTGTAAGAGGCATGCTACTTGATGCATAGACACAAGTTGAAGATAGAGATTGTAGTTGGAGTTTTTCTGTGTCCTGCAGTGACTCCCAAATAACCACACTGAGATTTAATATTATTTATAAATGCTCTGCCAATAGCTTAGACTTATCTCCAGTCAACACTTACAACTTAAATTAACCCATTTCTGTTCATCTATGTGCCGCCCTGAGACTTTCTTACCTCATCTATGAACTTCCCATGCTGTTTCTTCCATGTCTGGTTTGAGACTCCACCCTTCCTCTTCCCAGCATTCTCTCTGGCCCCAAAACCTAGCTATCAGTCAATCAGCTATTTATTAACAATGAGAGCAACACATTTTCACAGTGTCCAGAAGGATTATTCTACAGGACGAGATGATAGATAGATAGATAGATAGATAGATAGATAGATAGATAGATAGATAGATAGGAAAAGACAGGTAGAAGATAGATTATAGAGGTAGATGATTGATAGATGATAAAATATAGATCAGCAATTCGTAGCTTATGAGTTGAAACTCCTTTGGGTCTCACAAAAGTCACATATTAGGTATCCTGGATATCAGATATTTATATTATTATACTTAACAATAGCAAAATTATGAAGTTATAAAGTAGTAACAAAATAATTTTAGGGTTGGGGGTGACCACAACATGAGAAACTGTATTAAAAGGTCACAACATTAGGAAGGTTGAGAACCACAGCTACAGATGATAAATAGATAATAGGTAAATTGATAGATGGTAGATATATTGTAGATTATGATCAATAGTAAATAACAGCTGGTAGATGATAAAAGATAGATGATAGATTGATAGATGGTAGGTAGATAGATACATAGATAGACCTAGATCGATTGAGATAGATAGATAGATAGATAGATAGATAGATAGATAGATAGATAGATAGAAGGTTTCTAGTTGAAAAATCCTCAGAAATGAAAGAACTGTAATGTAAACAGGTCTGTCAGCAGAAGGCTTTGTCCTCCATTCAGAGACGCAGACATGTAGACCTTTCATACTGGCAGTAGGACTTGTGGCTGTATCACAAGCTTTCCTTGAACCTTCACAGAGTTCAGCTTTTGCTTTGTGAGCCCCGAATAAGCAGAAAGAAAAGATGTTTTTCACTAACAGCGAAGAAAAGTCTGTTTGTTCTCAGGACACTGAGCACGCTGTTCAAGGCAGTGAGTTCATCCCCGCATGTTCTTGGAGCCTGCAAGGGTCATAATGGCAGCTGCCTTAGAAGCTACTGGTTCAACTCACAGTCACTCAGCTGCCCCAGGGCAATGTTAACTTGGGTAGTTGCTTTTCTTTCCTTTCTAAGTTAAACAGACTGAAAAGAGAGGACCGTTATAACCAAATAGCAGGGGGTGTGGTGGGAGTGGTAGGCAGGAAGGCCATGAAGTTGAGATCAATCACTCTTCAGAATCTGATTTATTAGGGGAGAACCTAGAAACCATGGGGTGAGAGGTAGGGAGGGCAAACATGGGGGTGAGAGGAGGGGAGGGTAAACCAAGGGGTGAGAGGAGAGGAAGGCAAACATGGGGGTGAGAGGAGGGGAGGGTAAACCAAGGGGTGAGAGGAAGGGAGGGCAAACCATGGGGGTGAGAGGTGGGGAGGGTAAACCAAGGGGTGAAAGGTGGGGAGAGCAAGCCATGGGGTGAGAGGTGGGGAGGGTAAGCCATGGGGTGAGAGGTGGGGAGGGTGAGCCATGGGGTGAGAGGTGGGGAAGGTGAGCCATGGGGTGAGAGGCAAGACAGAACTCTAAAGCAGGAGAGCAATTTGGTGGGGCAGAGCATCAGAGACAATATGGTGAGGCCGTGAAGACGTGGGGAGAGCCAATAAAAAGAACCCCAAATAGTCAGTCCAGTCTAGGTACTTAGGAGTCAGAAATTCTTCTAATCCTTGGTTTAATCTGATTAGTTCTAAGGACAGAGTTCTCTAAGTGCCTCGAAGTGTGGGTCCAATTGCAGGGACTTATCCTCATAAGACCTGACACAGCATATGACCAAGTAAATGAGAGGGAAAAAAATGCCCCTGAAAAGTCCTGGAAGCAAAGATTAATCTCCAAGAATAAATATTACCTTATTATTTACAGGATTTAATGCAGGGAAATACTAAACATACACAATAAGAATTATATATATGCATATATAATATCTGATATAATATCATAGTTAATAAAATGTTCAACACACTATGTTAAAATGTAATGACAGATTTCAAATTAGAGAAGGTGCTAGTATTTGTAAAAGAAAATAGCAAATTATTTAGTTCAAGACATTAAAATTATATTTTTCCAAAATTTCAACAATAAACATGCCTGATTTGTGTAGGCAAAATTAAAAGTATTTAAACTAAATTATTACTATTAATTATCATCATTATTATGCTGGACTACATAGCAAGAGGGATTATTCTTAAACAATTTAAAAACAAAGTATGCCAAATAAACAGCAAGCATTTTCGATGGGAAGGTGAGAGATTAGTGGAAATGATTTGTGTACCCTTGCACAGCGGGATGCCAGGCTCACACTCACTTTGGGCCACCCACAGAGAGTGGCTTCAGTGTTCCCAGCCTCGGTGTGGTCTTTCCTGGGGTTTGCACTTCAGCTTTTCTTCCAGTGAGATCACAAAGCCTGTTGTTTGGGAGCTGCAGACGGGGGAGACACACTGGGGCAATGCACTAGCTGCAGACAGTGCGAGTTATGCTGGACGACACACTAACTTTCTGACGCCAGCGTCAGGTCCAGGTTCAGAAGCCTTGCCCTTGAACTACAGGTTTGTTGACCACTGACAGGCTGCAACTGCTTCAGCTTTAAAGCAGGGGTGGTGATGATTTGATGACCATCGCCTTAGCAAACAGCTATTTCATCAGCGAGCATTTACTGAGCACTTGCCTTCTAAATGCTATAGACACCATCTGCCAGGGCCCAGCCCTGTCTTTAACACACTGTAATCCAGCAGAACCGGGCTGCCTCTCTCTCTCTCTCTCTCTCTCTCTCTCTCTCTCTCTCTCTGTCTGTCTCTCTCTGTCTCTCTCTCTCTCTCTCTCTCTCTCTCTCTCTCTCTCTCTCTCTCCATATATATATACAGTGATAACATGCAGGAACAAATAAGAACTGTCCAAATCACAGTCCTGCTCAGTAGGTAAGGGTGCCTCCCACCAAGTTTGATAAACTAAGTTCAATTTCTAAGACCCACAGGTTTGGAAAGAACCATCTCCTAAAGTTGTTCTCTAGGTGTAGCAAATTCGCACACAAAGATCAAGAAATGTGATGAAAATATTTTTTGAACATCATCAAGTTTGGCAAAAGTGGTGACATACAAAATAAAACACAGGGGTGAACAGGACCCTCCTGGGTAAAGACAGAGAGGGCAGTCCCAAGCGACACGCACAGATGCATGCAGACCAGTTTAATAAAACACCCAGCAGTTAGAAGTCACTGACCAGCAGCTCAGAATGCACTACCCCCAAAGCTCTGAAGTTGCAAGGCTTTATCTGTACATAGAACACAGTCAAATTTTAGCTGTAGGGGCTGGAAATGTGACTCAGCAGTTACAGAACTGACTGATCTTCCTGAGGATCCAGGTTCGGTTCCCAGCACCTATGTGGTGGCTCACAACTGCCTGTAACGCATGTCCCAGGGGAATCTAATGCACTCTTCCGGCCTCCACAATCACTCTATACATCTGGCACACAGATTCACATGCAGGAAAAATCCCCATACATGTAAAATAAAAATGAATATATCTTTCTTTTAAAAGTTTAGCTGCTGACATAAAAACTTTTTACAAAGTTTACTTAAATTTTTAAATATTGTTAATAATGGTTAGTTGAGGTGGCCTATTACATTGGTACACTAGATCGTGCACCAGAAACTGTCTTGGAATTTCTGATTCTAAGAATAAACACATTCTGTGGTCATTAGAATGTTCTCACATCATTTAACTGTGGCATTTTCTTTAATGTTGATCTCTGCATTCTACAGAGTTAGGACCAGGGGTCATGTGCCTTCTATGGTTCGTATCCAGGCATACTGTGCAAAAGACCATAAGCAAGGTTTGTCATGGGAGCCATGGCATGTGGGAAAAAGGAGCCCTGACACTTGTGCCCAGGAGTACTGTTCAGGACCAAGAGTTCATGGGTTCGCTTTATTTGAGGGTACTGGGGCTATACATGGCCATTGTCCAGTGGAGACTGAAACTCTAGAATCGGTTCCTAGGAGCAAGATGACACCATCAGGTTTAGTGGGGGAACAGGGACGGGAAAGGAGTTAGTTCAGAGAGGAAAGACACACACAAAAACTGTTCAAATGTGAAGACAGCAAGGCAGTGGGTGGCATCAGATCTGCTCTCTGTCAGACCCAAGAGACACCTGACTGGGTCTCTTCAGCTCAACATAAAGATCTCAGTCTCGACACCCTAAGCCCACTCTTGCTGTTAGGAGATGCCTTCTCTAGCACAAACGTCACCAGGCACATATGTGGCCACTCAGTACTTGAAATGCAGCTCAGCTAATCTGAGCTATGCCGTACATATAAACTACAGCCAGACTTAACAATTACATAGTCATAGAAGCCACTTACTGCAATGATATTTTGAGTATATTGCATTACCTAACATCTGTTGTTAAAATTAATTTCGCTGGTTTCTTTCTATTGTTTAATGAGATTGCTAGACATATTAAGATCACATCTGCAGCTGGTCAGAAAGGAGCCTGCCGGTCTCAGCTAGGCGGCACACCTCTCTCTCCTAGTCTAGACAATAAGCTTCTCTCTCAGTCTTTCTGCAGGCGGGGAGACCCCAGATCTGGACCCCATAGTCAAGCCCTTGCTCCCAACCTGACTATAAACCATGACAGAGAACACACCATGCTGAATTCAGAAAGAAGCCGAAAGACATCGAAGGTTTTAACTCTGAAACGCTCAGCAGAAAATACAGCTGAGGAGCATCATCAAGTTAAAGCTGCACCTATGTGTTTCCTCAGACTGGCGAGCAACAGTAAGTATCACACAGAGCCAGCACTAATTGCATTTGGGCCCTTGCTATTATAACCAAGTACAAAATATTTACCAAGCCTGTGTGTTTTGGCTTCTGGCACAGAGACTGCTTTCAGAGCAGAATGGGTGAAGTCAGCATTCTTTTCCACTAGGCAAGCATAAACGGGTGCTGCCCGTCCACAAGTGGGCGGGCTGCTGTGGCCTCGGGAACACAACCTGAGCAGGCTGAGGTAACTTTTTCAGACACAGTTTGATCTACAAGGTCAAAGCCCTCGGGGCTGAAGAGCACAACACTGGATCAGAGGGGCCTCCAGTCAGTGTCTGCTTTTTCTGTGGACCACTGTGTCATGGTAGGTAAGTCACAGCGTTCTCCAAAGCCTCGGAGACGTGTTCTGGAGACACCGGGCCTTCATACAGTTACCAGGAATGTCTGACCAGCGAATCCAAATGCTGTGAGCCACACCACCAGTATCATTGCTGGTGAGACTACTAGCTCCCGAAGAGTGGGACCCTGCTTTCATTCAGTCAATACACAACAGTTCTTGCTGAGGGGTAGGTGCTGGGGATGTGGAGGGAGTAAATTGCTCTATTAGAGAGTTGACAGTCTATGATCTAGAGGAAGTCACACATAAAGTAGCGTAAAAATAAATACACCATTTCAGCAATCCTTGGCACTAAGATGGAAGGCGGACTAGGGTGAGGAACAGAGGCATGGTTTTTATGGCTTGGACACCAAAGAAGCTTCCTTAAGCAGAGAGAAGGCGCAGAAAGAAGCTGTTGAAAGTCTGGGAAAAAAAAAAAAGCTTGTTTCAGGAAATATAACAGTAGAGTGCAGCAGTGCAGGAGTAGAGCGTGGCCTGTGGAGACAGGAGTTGAGCGTGGGCTGTGGAGACAGGAGTAAAACACAGGGCTGTGGAGACAGGAGTAGAACATGGGCTGTGGAGACAG